TACGGCAAAATTTTCTACGGCGGAAATTCCTAAGGTGAGTTTTCCTACGGCAAAAATGTTTACAGCGAATGTTCCTACAACCGTTTTTTCTTGAATCTATAGATAAATATTGTTCCTTTATACTTGTGCCAATAGGTAGATATTTTTTTTTATATTTGGGTCTATAGGTAAATATATATCGGTTATTCTGTAAGTGAATATTGCTTGTTTATCCCTGAGTTTATAGATAGATATTGTTTATACTTGAGTCTTTATGGCACATACCTTGAATCAATCATAAAAATTCAGGATGGGGAATTAGTAAATACTAAATATTTCAAATACCTCTGTGTATGGATCGGTTATGACAAATTTAGTTTATGAGATAATGAAATTGACCTACGCTAGAGAACATTACTCCAAAAGAGACGTTCAAGCTAAGGGTAACGAAAAAAAATACGGCGAAATTGTTTTACGGCAAAAATCCTATACGGCAAAGATTTCTACGGCGAAAATTCATGAGGTGAGTTTTCCTACAACAAAATGTTTACGGCGAATGTTACTAGAACCGTGTGCCATCAAGCTTAGCACACTTTGAATAGCACTGTACTAGACCACGCTAACAGGGGACGTTCTGAGAAAAATATTTAAAAAATATTAACATGAACAAATTGGCTGTTTGTTTTTGTTTGTTTTTTTTTTTTTTATTTTTACAGGAAGGTGCAATGAACTCGAACCCTCTGCTTTGATTTTAGTTTCTCGAATCACCTTTAGTCGTTCGAGGGATCAGCTACATTCCGATGTTAAAGAGGCCCACTAAATTAGCGAAACTAACGTATAATTATCGTCCCATAGAGATGCAACGAGTCTGGAAATTATACACATGGTGATCAGTCTGCTTGATATCGCGACGCGCCATTTGAGCCCTCACAGCGCTGATGATCCGCTTAACACATCGTGAGTCAGCGGCTCGACTCTTTATTGTCTTCATGAAGCGCAACTTGATTTAAAAGACGGCTGACCATACGCCGTCCAGCTCAATAACCTAATTAGCTCTTTCTTGAGCCAAGATCAACCAGTGAAAGACAGGCTTAGGCAGAAATGACCGGTCGTTACTGCGATTCGGAGGTCGTCGATCGCACACTGAAAACGCGACAATGATTTCTTACGATTATTTAATGAGACATACACAGTCGGCTGCTTATACGATAGTGTCAGCAAAAGTAAGATGGCTTTAGGGAGGGTGAGATTACTAGCAGAAATATATGACTATCTAGACAGAATGAACGAGACGTTGGAAGGAATATTTTGTGTGTTTAACTGATCAAAATAAGGAGATAAACCGATTCCTACATATCTCTATCTATAAAAGGCAGGATGTGTGTGTTTGTGTAACGAATGCACGGCCGCAATTTTCGACGAATTTGCATCAAAATTTACATGCACATGCTCCAAGTTAGCGGAAAGGCCAAGACCGACTTTGCATTTCCCAACTCCCATCGATAGTGGAAATAATCGATTTTTCATGCTTCTACGGCAGTTTTCATGTAGTTTGCGGCCATTTTCTACTGGCCAGAGTGAGAGCCTATAGCTGGCTGCCACGAATAGGCAGGAAGATTCTATTGGCCACCGTGAGAGCCAACAGCTAACTAACACGAATTTTAACTAGCATGCAAAAAAAAAATCGATAGCTTCATTCGTCTCAAGTGGGAAAAATTTAAATCTGCATGGCATTTTACTCCAATTGGCTCATTCGCTTGCTTAAACTCAACGTTGATTCTGATTCCGCAGAACTGGGTTGGGTGTGAAAAAAGTATTTGTTGTTAACGTTCTTTTTTCATTCAGTTTTTCTAGTTACGAGTCCTTTTTTTAAAGCTGATCGTTTTGTGTTCATTTTGTTTAGTTCTTTTTTCGTAACAGATTTAATGTTTAGTATAGAGCTTAGAAAAAAATCGCAGTTTGAGATAGGCAAGAACTAAGGCATGTAGCAACATCAGCACGGCAAAGGGCACTCCTTTAAAGGCAAGGAAGGGCAAAAATATTTTAAGTCAAGTGATAGCGATTGCTGTATGAGTCGTACGATTTTTGAATCAAGCACGGGCAACGCCGGGCCATGCTGCTAGTTCACGTATGAATCGAAATCTGAAAACATAGTAAACTGTAATCTGCTCATAAGGTAGAGTATGATGGAGAAAGTATTCTTAGAATATAGTTGCCACATATGTTTTAATGCCCTTGCAATTTACCTTGAGCTCCTTCATAAAATCCAAAGAAGAATCAGCAATATTATCTGTCCTGATCTGGCAACTCGGCTCCTGTCACTTTCCCATTCGAGCTGCTTCTTCCCGCCAACCGTTATTTTTTGTAACTGTTATATCGTGGATAATACGATATAAGCAACTAGGTAAATTCCGAGGGGAAAGATTACTCCTAAACACGGGAATGAGGTAAATCAAATAACATGAGTTTTATTGTATGGAAAGTACAATGATTAAGAGCTATTAATAATAATCATAAGGAAAACGGGAGATACGTCACGGAAATGCGTAGTGATACAATATTTATTTCTGTGAAAATACAGAAAATGTGGCACAAGGCCTAAAAAAAAGGGGATGGGGAAAAGGACGGTCTTCATCTGTCTTAATTTTAAACTTAGCTAGACACAAGCACTGACCCAAGCATACAAACAATATTCCTAACACCAAAACACCACATTCTTACTAGCCTTTCTTACTATTAGTTTGGTGCAAAAATAATGACGTAATAATGTCGTTTTTTGACGTATTTTTTAACGTCAAAAAACGACATTATTGCGTCATTATTTTTGCACCAACCTAATACATTCATCATAATACCTCATTGTCTCAATGAAAATCCTAAATACTCCCCATATGTACAAATCGTCGTATGTGGAGGAGGAATAAAACAACAAATTAAAAGGATCCCCAATGAGTATATACAATATGAATTAATCTATTTACAAGAAACTAAGCAAAATTATTGTTAGTAGTAAAAAAAAACAAACCCATAATACTTAAATGTGGCAGAAACATCAGTTCACTGGACAAAATCAATGAAGGTCTACAAAATATAAAATACTTTCATTCATCCCTAACACTCACACAGACACGCACTCATCCAAACACAACAAAAAACGAAAAAACACACACAGGCGAGTACGTTAATCCATTAATATACCATACTTTAAAACTATATTATAATATTCTATTACACACACATACATACACACACAAGCACAATCCACACAAGCATACACACACATATATTGTTATATCGTGGATAATACGATATAAGCAACTAGGTAATTCCGAGTGGAAAGATTTACGCTAAACAAAGGAATGAGGTAAAACAAATAACATGGATTTTATTGTATGGGAAATACAATGATGAAGAGTTCTTAATAATAATAATAATAATAATAATAATGGAAACGGCAGATACGTCACGGAGAGCCGTAGTGGTACTGCTACTACAATACTTCGTCACGTCTTTTATTTTCTCCTCATTCACGTCTCTTTAGACTGACCAATCACTGTCGGGGTATTATAGGTTGTTCCACTATAACAGTAACTGATTCCGAAGCAAATATTTCCCTGATCACTCAGTCAGTTATCAACCATGCGAGGCAGATTCTTTTTCCCGCAGTAGGTTGCCATTCTTTCTTTCTGCGGTAGACCAGTTGCCATCCAAGGCTATAGAACCCGATCTGTCCTGCTATTTACCCATAGCTTAGGGGAGAAGAGGATTCACGTATTTCACGTATTAGTACGTAAGGGAATGCATTGGATTCGACTGGAATTCGAACTCAACTCCCCCATTCCTCGATCCGAGCCGCTATCCATTACTCCACCGTGCCTCAGTACAATCTTAATATTTTCAAGTCTAGGGTTAACCATACTCCCTACATATCGCCATAAACTCCGCCTCTTATTCTGAAACCATCTAACTCGAGTGGCTTTTGGGTCTTTTATGGGATGAACAGCATTGTAAAAATGTAAAGCTTCCTCTTCAAGCTGCTCCACAATCGGGCTGAATCCATTGCTCGGTCATCTGCTAAGAATTTTGGTTCACAGCGTGATAATTTTTCTTTACAGAATCTATCTTACATATCTAGTACGTCTACCATTCGTCCATGCTTAGAATATTGCTGACACATATGGTCCGGTGTCCCTGCTATTTACCTTGAGCTCCTTGATAAAATCCAAAGAAGAATCAGCAATATTATTGGTCCTGATCTGGCCGCTCGGTTTCAGTCAATTTCCCACGGCCGTAAAGTTGCCTCCCTGTGTCTTTTCTACGAATAATTTCATGACAATTGTTAGGATCAGATCTTCGCTATGGTACTTAGATTTTTTTTAAATTTAAGCACAGTACTAGATAAGCGCCGAGATTTCAACTATTTACATTTAAACTGGCTCGATATAAGCCGTAACTTCCGTGCTAAAAGTTCCTTTTCTCGCACTTCTCGCTTGTGAAACTCCATTCTGGTTCCATACTTTCTAGCCAACTTTAATCTGCAAAAATGTAAATGCCATGTCAATCGATATCCACTGTCCTCCTGATTACTCTTTAGACTTCCTGCTCATTATTAATGTTTCTATTCCTAATTCTTCTACAGTCCTTGTGTCTTAGTGGCTTTACTGCCTTGGATGGAGTGATACACATTGAGACGGTAAGCTGCTCGGCGATTCAACCTATACAGCGAGGCGATTCTGAAAGAATTAGAAGTCCTCCCAGATTTCATTATTGTTAGCACAATCTTAATCACATAAGATATGCAGATGACACAGTTTTAGTAGCAGACACGGAAAGGAAACTGTAAAAATCCTACAGAAGTTAATGAAGAAAAGTGTAAAGAAACGATCAGACATTACCTGCAAGAAGACAGAATGAATGGTTGTTAGCAAAAGGGATCAGCCCAAAATGCAAATTACAAATTGGAGATACCAAAAACAAACTAGCAGAAAAAAAACTGACATGACTTAGAGTTCGTAGCTTAAGCCCGTATCAGGTTGAAACACTGGTTCCCGTACGATCATTGAAGTTAAGCAACGTCTAGCCAGGTCAGTACCTAGATGAGTGACCGCTTGGGAATACCATGTGTCGTAAGCTTGGATATGCGACTGGTGTAATGGATAATGGCTCGGAATTGTTAATCGGGAGGCCGAGTTCCAATTTTAATTTGTTGTATTCAGTTAATCGCAAATACCCTAGAGAATGGTATGTATCCATCTCCACACACCCAACTATAGGTTAATTAGTAAGATTTTTATCACTAAAATCATATAATTAATAAGACTTTTTTTAATTTATCTATATCTATAAAACAGATGTCTGTGTGTCTGTCTGTCCTTTGTGTATCTGTCTCTGTGAGTGTATGCTATTTATATACGTCCACATTTCACGGCCGATTTCGAGGAAATTGTACAGACGTATTGCAAATTTACTGAAATAGGTCAAGACTATCTTTTCAATCTCCAGGATGCCCGCGTTTGTTAGGAAAATCAATAAAACTGAAGGTGGGTACGACGTTTTGCAAAACCCAAGGCAAAGTTACAAGCGAAGAAAATTTTTATTGGATGAGTTGATGTTCTTTGCATTTAATGCTCATGTTACGAGGTTTGATAGTTTTCCTGCAACATTGGCTTCACAAAAATTCCGAAATCTGTGAAAATGTTGGATTTTTCGTACTACTTAAAATAAATGTTGAATAACTTCCACATTTTTTATTCGATTTTCTTCAAATATGTTGCAAAAAATTTGCCAACATGAAAGAAATTAAATAGTGACCGATTCGCTTCCCGAAAAACACGAAAAACTGTTCAAAAAGCTTGTTTTTCGGCCATAACTTCATAGTTTTTCATTTGATTCTTTCCAAATTTGCCATGTAAAATAGATATGACACGCAAATTGTCTTGTGTTAATATTGGTTTAGATTATTTCAGTTAAGTGGAGGAAATCTATCACAAAATCCAAAATCGGCTTTTGACATTTAGCCAATAGATTCTTCATATGATTCCATCTTAAATTAGCATTCGTACAACCTTTGATGCAAAGATTGTTTAAGAAGGATTATTGAAGCGTTAAAAGGGGAAATTTCCCAAAGAACCTCTTATTAACCCCAGCTTTATAGTAAACGTGCGAAGAAGGACGTTCATACGTTTGAACTTGCAGTTGAATAAAGCTCTGAGGCTTCATCCCTGTTTTTGTTTGATTATTAGATTTGTGAACGATGCCATACTATTTGAATCTTATTACAACCCTAGGAAATTTACTGAATATCTAAAACATTGAAACAATTTCACCCCGAGCAACGACCACACAAGAAGGTTTTTTTTTTATATTAAGAACAAGAAAACGCTTTCGAAAAACATACCATAAAAAAGATGAAGTGGGGGAGTAGCTTAGTATACCAAAGGATGATGCATGCAAGCGGCGACGCGTGCAAGTGGGAAGATTTCTAGACAGAGTGTGCGGGTATGCAATTGCAGCCATGTACACCCGGGCAAACTCGGCTAGTATAAAGATAAAACTGTTACTAATTACTAGCGTCATTTCAACATCTCTTTGCGTTACTCAATGCCAAAATCTAAATAAAAATTGCGTAAAAGATATTTAGATTTCGGTATTGAATGACCCATTGAGATGTTGATATGTCGCAAAACTAAACCAATGCCAAGAAAAGTTCATGCTTCTCTTCTCAAATTCAAATAATCGTGACGCATTCGTAACAAAGAAGTTGAAGTCCGTGTACAGGAAGTTTACTGAGTTCGTCAAGGACGCTAAGTTCATTTAAATAAAGTTCAATGATGTACTGATCTATCACTGAGAGAACTGCGAGATAAAATAACCAAACTCTTTTGCCTGAGGTGCTTTTGTTTTTGTTTTTTTTTCCGTTTTTTTTTTGTTGTTTTCTTTTGCCAGCGATAGCATTTCACGAAGATGTATCAACTTAACAACGTCGACATTTTCTTTTTCACACCATTCCATGAAAAGTCGTAAAGTGCTACGAGAGCTTCTTTAATGGGGACTTCAAGGAGTGTCGGAATCTGACTTACCTTTTTATCTACATCATATCAGATTTTACGATGAAAATTAATGTTTTCACAATAGCAATGATAATAACTGACCGATAATGGAAAACTTTGCAATTACGCCTGCATTTTATAAGTGCAATATATCGTAAAATAACTATCTATGCTAAAATATTTCGGGCGACATGTTTGGGAGTATAACGTTTTATAGAGGTTTTTGCATTGGGTCTTGTTTTGTATTTTTTTTTACTGTATGGATGAACCATAAGTCAATAAAAATAAATAATATTTGCCAATGAAAACCTCGAAAGCAAACATTAAAACATGATCAGACTAAGCAAAGTAAGACGAGGAAGATGAACTTGTCTTCCATACTTCTCTAGTATTTGGATTATATATATATATATATATATATATATATATATTATAAATTAATTGATTTAAAAAATATGGTTATTTTCGCTACACAGTTCCAACCATGTTTCAAAAATAGAAGCTAAAAACCCGAATTTAATTTTGCAATTAAATTAAAAAGCATTAGTTCCATTTCATCTTCAAGCGAATTTTTTAATTTAATTGCAAAATTAAATTAAATTTTTGAAACATGGTTGAACTTTGTAGCGAAAAATAACTTTTTAAATCAATTAATTTATAATATATATATATATATATACATATATATATATATATATATATATATATATATATATATATATATATATATATATATAGCCTGTCACAGGAAAAAATTACATCTATTTTAAAATTTGAAATAACTTTGAAATAAACAGAGTGATATTTTGACACAGTTTTATTCAACTGAGAATGTACCTATATATATATATATATTGTCATCCACAGACAGACTGTTTCGTTGTATCACAGCTCATCAGTGTGGCTAGACGTCCGGTTGCCTCTAGCTAGGATCGAAGCCCGACTGAATTGGTGTCAGTCGGGAATTCTACGCTTAAGCCGTTGGCGCAAGGTAAAGATGAATGTAAACTTAAGAGTATTTATTTTTTGATAAACACACACTGACTGAGAGAACTCGATTCGATTTACCGAAGAGTCTTGCATTATTAGCCGTAATAGTCACTGTTTACAAGTGAAAATTGAAGTCAACACTCAGAGGCGATAGACTGTTTCATGCTACAGGCAATCATCAGGCCGACGACTGCGTCTAGCATGAAACAGCCTGTAGCCTCTGAGTGTTGACTTCAATGTTCACTTATATATTTATATTTAGATACGCTTTATCTTTGATATTGAACACTTTATCCTATAAATATTAGCACACCTTAAAACTATATTTCTTATTCATATATATATATATATATATATATATATATATATATATATATATATATATATATATATATATATAATAAAAAAAACATACCACTTTAAGGTTCCATGTAATAAAGTTATTTCACCACAACCCCTTTAACAGGGCTCTGGATCATCAGACTTTATTTCCAAAAGTTGAAATGAAAATGAAAAAGAAATTCACACGTTTTTGACGGACCGCATCAAGCATATGTAAAATTAACGAAGTGAGGAAGTGAGGTGGGAGAAGATATATATATATATATATATATATATATATATATATATATATATATATATATATACACATCGTGTGTAACAGCAAAATTGTCCAGTTGTTAGATTAAGCATTGAACCATTGTATCTTGGAAATGATTAAAGATATCTTACTGGAATTCTCTGAGGTCTTTATAACACTATTGAACTATGAACAATCAGAATGTATTTAGCACTAAGTTGAAATGACGAACCCTCTTGCTGTTGTTCCGTCCTGATCCAGTTTTCCTCTCTATTGTTCCCTCTTTTTTAAACTTATTCGCCGTTCTCTTGATGGTTCTTGAACAGGCTTTGAAGAGGGAAGCCCGAGTATGAATGTTGGTGCCATTACTGAAAGTTTAAATAATTTTTTCGTCTCATCATTGCTCAGCTGGGAAGACATACTAAGGGTGACACAAAACACTTTTAACCCGTTGTCGTTCTGGCTGAATAATTCAAAGGGTTTTTTTCAGTGATTCTTACGACAAATGGTATCAAGATGACTAAACGTCTTATCTGAAAATCTGGGTAAAAAGAAACAGTTATTTTAGTGTGTTCTTTTTTTTTTCTTTTTTTTTTTTTGAGACATTTTATGGGATGTTGTTACACGATTTGGTTAATTTTGCTGTTACACCCGGTATTTAGGTTGAGAATCTTTTGCGCAAAATTCCTGGGACCGGAAGTTCTTCGGTTTTTAGATTGTTTCGGATTTTGGAATATGGTTATTTAATTTGCATATAGCACCTGTAACGAGAGCTAGGGAAAGAAACGTTTATTCCGCAATTTACGTTTCTCCCGCTATGGACCTTGTTCTGTCCGTGGTACTACAACACCGTACCTCACGGACAGGAACGGCTAAAAGGAAGAATAACAAACATGCTTTGTTCTCAGAGAGAATGTTATATATGACGACATACACAAAAGCAAATATATAGACATATATGCACACATCCCATGTGGAGAATTATATATCCCATATATACAACAGCAAAGCAAAGTATAAGGAGGAACAAACAAAAAAGGAAAGGTCTTATATATAAATTGAAGATACTCTTGACCTGGAGAAGTCATTTTTAGAACTCATGCTTAAAAAGGGCCGGATTCATCTATGTACCAAAGAAAAAAAAAGCATCATGTGCTTGTAAGCTGGTGAGGCAGATTTAGGTTCAGCCTGGACCAAAAGCCCAGGCTAGAACAAAGCAACTGAAATAAAAATCGACTCCCACTTTGGGTAACTTTCTGGAGTGACGCCAGGAAGCGGACGTCATGTGACCATGTGATTTATCTTCCACCAAAGGGAGATAAGCACCATCTGTATCCCTAAAAGTCTATAAAAATGGAGCGGCTTGGATCCCAAGCATAAAGACGATATCCCTTTACATTCTATAACACAGCTTATGCATATACCCTGGAGGCAGTCTTATATAAATAATATATAACGTGAACATAGTTTTATATAATGAAATTTAATAAATTTTGTGTACGTACAGTTAGA